TAATAGATACTTTTAATTATTTTAACAATCTTTATCTCAGGAAGTCAATATACGTAAGTACTAAGTAATATTTTTGAAGGTGCAACAGCTTAGATAGCAATATAGATTAAATAAAAGAATTTCTTTAAATTTCAATTAAGTATTATGTATAATATGTATGATATCAGTGTTATTAATTTATATAGTTTTATATACAATGTTTTATTTACATATAAAAACGGATCTTAACTGAGCACCAATCGTAAAATTTTCGAGACAGTTAAAAGAAATATACTACAAATATTAATCCTTCACTGATCTAAATACAAAGAAAAAGAATATTAAGATGAATTTGAAAACTTTATTCAATAATAAATTAAAACTTATGCAACAAAATAATTATATTCTAAGACAGTATAACAACTTGTGTTATTGTTCGTTTTTATATTTAAGGTAATGAAAATACAAAATCATGAAACATAAAAATAAATCATTTATAACATAATAACAAATTTACCCATTTTGTTTTGAGACATGTACCAAATTTTTTTAAATCGGTAATGTATGTTAATAAAATTATCAAACGATGATTAAATAAGTCAATATGAAAAAATGATATTGTTGGGGATAGTGCAAATCCTTGTAACCCTAGGATAATTCCGCGTATCTACATTGGAAGCAGATTATAAGAAGAAAGTTTAAGCTAAAATATTTTCTAAATTAACGACTATCAAGGTACTTTTTTCAAATTTGTTATAAATTTAACACTAAATAATTACTAATTATTGTGAAAAAATTACTTTAAAAGTCGTTAATTTAGAAAATATTTCAGCGAAATTATCCAATGGTAGTTACGCGGATTTGCACTATCCCTGACGATATGCTGAATCGTTCAATAATCCAAAGCATAGAACAAAGCTACGCCACGCTTTATCCAATGAGATTGTGGCTTATGAGTCGCCAGTTCAATAGTCATTACATAGTTGGTCGAGTGTCCAGTGGTTGAGAGTGTCCCAGCTCTAACGGGTGTCTTGTATGTCGGACATTCGTATAAACCTTGCCGCTAGACGATGATTTTGTTCCGGTTTGCCATTTCTTGAATTGAATATTTTAAATATTTTAGTTTTTACTCATCACCTTATTAACATGAATTACTAATAAAGTTTATAAGTAGTGAAATTTTAAAATACTAACCGGTATTTAGTTCCTTAGGTCTGTTTTCTTCTAATGTCATATCACCAATATTAAATCTAGCACCTTCTAAAAATAGGCCTCGGACACATGAACTATCATATGGTTTCTTTGCTGGCGGAGCGTTAAGTGCCTGGAGATATAACTTAGGTCCTAGTTTATAATATAATATGCACTTATATTTTTTCATATCTATTCTGGTAATAATTTTTAACTGATATGACATTGAATTATATATATTTAGAATAAAGATTTCGGAGACTGCTCCGAGGGCGGTCTGCGAGAGTTTTGGATCCCGAAGATATAATTACTTATAGAATTATAAAATTTGTTTTTATTCTCTTTTCCAATTCCTATCACTAATGATATATTAGCAAGCGAAACTGTGGAAACTTTACAAATTCTTTTAATTTAAATTGTACCATTATCGTTATTACGTTCTTTGTCTTACCTGAAAAGCGTAAGCGATGGTATCAATTGCAATAACATGTTTTCTAGCATAGTTTTGTAATGCACCAGTAAGGAATGCCTGGGGGAAGTAGAATCCAGAAATCCAAAACACCTGAGGAATCCCACCATCAGTCCACTGTTGCATAAATTGTACTCGGAGACATAAATCTTTTACCCAAGCCGCTGCGAAAATGACAAAAATTAGTAATGAACCCTTTCTAAATTTATTTAGCAGGTTATTTTTTACCATTTTCCTTTTTGTGATAAAAAATCTAATACCTAGTGGTTTAAGCGAAGGATAAGCTTTAGCGCTAAACATATTTGGAACAGCGTTTTTAGCCAAACTTCCGGACATACTTTCTAGGGCTTCCGACATAACAACCAAACCTTTAAGCGCCTTTTGTAGGTCACTAGCAGAAAGAAAAAAAAATAAACTGTTAATTGCGATTTGATTTATACACTGACTGAAGAGAACTGCTAATAACAGCCAAAAGCTTATTGTATCGGATGGCTTCTTGAATGAGTACTGTATTAAGAGACGAGACTCTTTATAAGACACGGGTTAGCTGTTAGGATAAAATATATATATTAAATTACCTTTTTTAAATTATTTTACATGCATTCATAAATGTATAAGGGAATTACGTTGCAGCGATGTATTTAACGTCAAGCGTAGGAGGAAACACACTAAGAATGTCTTTTGCAGCATTTTCTGTCATCTCTTCGCCTGTGAGATCCCCTTCGCCACTTACTTCCTTTGGTTGAAGATTGCTCAAGGTATCTGCAATATAAGTTACAAAATTCATACCCAGAGTTTCGTATAGTAATAATTTACAAGGGACTTTAATATTTCACTTTCACAGAACAAACGAGAGTGCAAAAATCATCCACTAGTTCTCTATCTATAGTTAGTCTATACTATGTAATAAGGACTCTTTATACCTAGTAAGGGAATCATACCTAGTTAATATTATTAAATATATATAAGCAGTCAATCCATTAGTAATATTCATATTTAAAATTACATATGACTTACTTATACAAGAGCTCGTCTCAGACATAGCATAACTGATATTGGCATTAGCGTGCAATCCGAATAACGTCGGGTCATCGTTCAGTGGTAAGGTGCGTATATAACGAGTATAGTCATCAATCGTGGATGAAGATTGTTACTGTTAAAACAATAATTATAACTCCAAACAAATTATACACTATAACGGTCTAGAAATATGAACAGAAACCGTTAGTTACTGAATTGAATGATATTAAACCTATTAGTTTTATTTAAAAGATATCCTCGAAATAATAATCCAACATGAGGAGTTTATATACCTGTTTATAAGCACCACTCTCATCGAATATCCATCTATCATTGAGAACAGCAGTAGTGTAATAATCAGCCAACAAACACAACAGACACCGACGATCCCAATCATCGGTGACTCGTCCACCAGAGTTAATATGACCCGCCGCGCTGTATATGTTAACATCTGAACAAAATGATTTAAAACACCAATTACGCTGATTCGACAAATATGTTAACATTAAAATATATCCTAACTATTATAATAATATTCCAATTATATCTTGTCCATAATGCAAGCATTGTTTAAGTTATTGTTTTCGTGAACCCTATTTCAATTAGAGACTTAGTAACGAAACTCAACGTCAGTCCTATTGTTCTCCCAGTATACCATACAACCCAAGAATACAAATACTAAAAGTTACATAGTAATCTACTACTAATATTAACAAACCCATAGGTTCTTCCATGTTATCTTGTTAATAAAAAGCAGTCTTTTTCATTTTAAAAGTATTAATTTACGGTAAAAATAATTAACAAACCCGCAATGGAACTTCATGGTATTCAGTCAAAACATGTGAAGCTGAGAAATGCAAATACTAAGATCACCGTCCGTGAATTCGTATGGTATATTAAAACCAATAGGTCCAAATTTCCTTCGCTCTAGAACTACACCATGGAATAGGCATAGTGAAAATAGAAACCACTGAAAATTACAAAAGTTTTGTTAATAATTTTTCAACAGTCCTAAAACCTCACGAAATAAAATAGAATAGCTTCTTCATAAAATCAATTTAGAAAATCTCATGTCTTTGTTTCGAAGTCATATAACAAATACATAGATTCATTTTATATTTGTTTTTCTTATTATAAATAATATGGAGAACCTTAAAATTAGGAACTTTGCTGTCTGATGAATTAAAATATTCAAGAAAATCAGGGACTTGATTCATATATGCTTTTGATAAATTGGCTTTAATTCCACTGGGTGGTTCCACTGTCATTTTATATCCTGAAAAAATCATATATATTTTTAAAACCTTGACTTATAATTAAGTATGATAATAATAATTATTATAATGAGAATTATATATAACGTCTTATTTATACATATTTACAACTTTAAGTAAATAAGGTATAGTTTAAATACTTGTGTGTTGTATGGTTATAATTAACTTTATATATAAATAATATTTAAAATACCGTTCTGTAATAACGCCACAGGAAAGAAGAGTGAAGGTGTTGATGTGAGCCACAGCCGAAAGTCCTTATGAACTACTTCTGGGACTATTTGCTCCACATTTAACTCCAGGACTGGCATCCACGATGGAGACAAATGGCAATTCTGAATTTTTTAAATATAAATATGTATAAAAGATACAAAAAAAATTAACACACAGTTTCAAGTGATATCTTACGCAATTTATTTCATAGAAATAGATTTTGTAGCTCTACTGTACAAAAATAGCAGTGAATTAGCAAGACAACCTTATTTTCATATCTTTATTATGATACATAGAACGGACATAATTAATAAATTTTTGTACTAAATTTAATTGTTTGAATTGTGATTTCAAAATTCCCTTAAAATTGTTTTTTATTCATTGTGAAAAGTACTTTAGCCATGCAATAAATTCTATGTGTATGATTAAAAAATATGAACATTACAATTGTAAAAAAAATGAAACTTTTTACCTGGAAAAATACCCAGTTACCAAAATCACAGCCAACTTTCATCATAGCTTCGGCTAGCGGTCCTTGACCTAACTTGACTTGTCCTAACGAAATACTTTCAAATCTTTTGCCCATCTTCATTTTGTCTTCAAATTTGAACAGATCTATAATTAATATGTTATACACAAATAGTAGATAAATAATCACATAAGGTAAATTAAAGCACTAAATACATATACAGTGTAAAATGAAATGTTAAAAAAATATATGAGGTCTTCTAATAATTAAGTATTATATAATATAAATATTATCCATAGTTAGTTTTAATTTTGCATAGAATTACTGCAACACTGTTAAGTAAAGTTATATTTTTCAAACAATTTAACATCTTCCAAGGCTCCAATTAGGCGAACAAAAAGTAATATTTACCAGCAGCTGGGTCAGTACCGGTGGAGAGAACCAAAATTATAGGAGCGAGTGGATCAGAGTCGGCGTATAGAGTTGCAAGATCAGCTGGCTGTGGTTCAACGAAACGGGCCCCAAGACCTGCTACTACGTAGTCCTGGACGAAGGAAAAAAGCAAAATAAATTTCAGATCTAAGTTGTAGTTTCATGCTATGTGTACAGCATTATGTGAATTTCTTTATTTCTAACTTGAGTTAGGTCTCAAACAAGACAAACAAGGTCTCTGACCACGTCAGAGGGTTTAAAAAAGAAGTCATGAATTAGGAATGTACAATAATTATTATTAAATATACCTGAAGACCAGGAATCAATTTGTTAGGTCGTAAGCACTTCGGAACAAGTAGCTTCTGAAATGCATCTAGTTGGGAATCTAGTCCTTTTGGATACGGAAGTCTGGAATATCCAGACATATTCTATTTAAAAAAAACTTAAATTTGATTAGTTAATAAGATAAAACGACGATTTTACTTATGAGGATTCCAGGCATCGCAATAATTCTTAAAGAATTTGGTTTGTTGAGGAAAATCCATGACAAATTGATGCATCGTTGGCAATGTCGCCAAACACATCCGAGGAGATATCCACTTTGGTTCGGGGTTCTCAAGTTCCTTGTGTTGAACAAATATTAATTTAATGTAACAATATTATTTTGGATATACTTAAAATTCTGACAAGTAAACTTTTTTTCAGTAAACGTGCTTTTATATTTACTTTATTGAAAAGCACTTTGTTGACTGCTGTAATATTCAGTGTTTTTTTAAATTCGAAATAGTATAAAAATTTAACTAGAATATACACATATATGTATTTATAAACACATTTATAGGTATGAACATACGTAATTCTTATTTAAGATACCTCTTCAATTTTTCCTCCGATTAATAAAAAATTTAATACTTGGAATCTTATAACTCCCTTGTCCAGCAGAATTCTAGCACAAAGCAAAAAAGCAAACAAAAGCTTGTGTCTTTCGAATAAACTGCTGCATACGTTCTGCTGCATACGTTCTGGTTGATTTCAACTCTTTCGATAACATCCTCTGTAAAATAATCCAGGCATGAATATTTTATAAATATAGACTTATTAAATGGTTAGTCGTATAATAATATTTACAACCATTTGGCTCGGTTTCTGCCATACTCCTTACGAAGAGTTTTATGAACCATTCCAATGAATATTGACACATAGGATCAACATTCGCCATTCCAGACAAGCAGAAAAACAGAATTTGACCTCTATTGGCCACTGGTACGTAGCCCAAACGCGCTTCATCATTTTCAGCTGATGTTTGCTCCTTATCTTCTACTTTTATCTAAAATAAATCGAAAGAAAATTTTTAAAATGTAGTTAAGTGTGTAGTATCATCATCATCATCATTTTAGCCTATTGCAGTCCACTGCTGGACATAGGCCTCTCCCAACACGCGCCATAACACTCGGTCCTCTGCCTTCCGCATCCAGTGAGACCCAGCGACCTTTTTAAGGTCATGGGTCCACCTACCTTTAAGTGTGTAGTATACAAATCCTTAACTGTTAAAATTTATTTTTCTAGATAGTAAGCCCATTACGTATACGTTTCCAGACCCGTCCGTAATTTCAAAGTGTCTTTTTGGTTCTCATGAACAAAGAAAAGCATCTGATCTATTAGTATTTTAGTTTAAAATCTGTATACATACAATCAGTATTTTGACCCAGTAATTGAACGGAAATTGAAATTAATTTGACAAAATATTTATATAAATACCAAAATTTCAGCACTCTTGATTTTAATAGCCTCCAAAGTTAATATAAGAGGCAAATCATCTACTGGAGATCCTTCGCTGTTAGACAGGCCATACAAAATATCAGATTGCATTTCCGCTAATTGTGTTGCTGGCTGAGCTCAAGACACGATGAGTTGACCTCTTAATTCTTCCAAATCTGGTCGCTCTTGAGCCACTACTGTTATGAGATTGGGAAGAATTTTTCGGATACTGTCTGCAATCTGTTAAATATATATATAATTAATAACAAACCAGAAATATATTTCTTACAAATATTTACAAGATACTAACCGATGGAAGGTTACTCTTCATCCAAGCATTCACTTATGGAGGCAAACCTACCACCTGTATATCAAGATATACCATCCCGCAACGGGATACAGTTACTGGCGATGCCACAACTAAATCAGCTACTTCAAATATCATACGCTGACGATCAGTTAGCTTCATGATCTCTCCACTTGACTGACATAACTTTTTATTATCATCCAAGACCTAAAAAACGCAAAATGATGTAGAGGTAACTTTGCAATAAAGATCATTGTACCAAAAATTTATCTTCATTAAAAAATATATAAAGAAAATTTCAAACAAATATAATATGAAACTTACAGTGTTCATATTTTCTATCCACACAGCGTCGACAGATCCTCAACTGCGATTCCAGGTCGAACCAGACTTGAAAGAATACCATCAGTCCTGTTGAATTGGAAAAAAAAGATATTTTAAAAAATTAACTACTAAATTTCCCAAAAAACAAATGGATTCTTCCTTTTAGCTAAATTTATCGGGTACACTACATATCTACATCAAAAAACTATTACAAAAGAATTGGACTTGTCCTCCCATATTATTCATATCTTACCATGGTGTGATCATTATAAAAATATTTACCATTCATGAGTTTGCAAATCAAATTCCCCATACAATCGTCCCATGGTAATAGACTTGGGGTTGACCACTGACGTATGAACCGGAGTGAAAGGAAATCCATCTAGTGCAAACTTTCCCTTTATAGAGCATCACGTAGTATCTCATAGCACTATAAATAATAATATAAAAAATCGTTTTGTTGCGAGATTTTCATTGGTTTTTTTACGTTATTTTTTTGGAATGGAAATAGTAATAATAATAATTTATAAATATATAATTAACCTTAATTTTTCCTCCTCCTCCAACTCCTGCAGGACCAACTGACATGAGACCACGTCGCACTACAGTCGTTTCATATAACTGAATTATTTTTAATATTAAAGCTGTAAAATTTATACCACATATGTATATAAGATACACTTAGTTAAAAAACAATTTTGTGCCCAAAAAAAGATAAAATATTATCAAGAATAACTCACTGTATAAGTCATCATAGCCCCTTTTGATAAGCATATTTCTTATGGACTGTTCCATGATACCATAGTCCACTATCGGAATTTCAACTCTTGGGAACAAATCTGGTATAATACCTATAAAAATGTCCCAACCAAAGGATTAATATCATTTACGTATGTTCTTTTCTTTACGAATATATTGAAAACAACATGGAATAATATTCTCGTGACATATATATGCTTTATAAGGTACTATATATACCCTTGAACAAAACAAGATCATCAGCTAGAAACTTGGGTACATTCACATCTCGTAATGCTCTTAATACTATTTGTCTCTCATCTCCGTCGGGCATCTGACGTATTAGATTACCGGCCACAAGGATTACTGTCTTCACGGCTCGCATACCGAAATCGTAATGCTCCTGTTTGCAAAAAATTAATATGTACCATATCTATGTACAATTCAATAAGGTTTAAAATCGGGAGACAATTGTATTTGTATCTTTTAGTGTTCTACTTTGAAATAAAAAATAAAAATAAATTGGAACACAGATTACATTATTTTTATTACATAGGTATTTGGTAACTTGAAGTAGAAACGTTAATAATATAAAAATAATTTCACATAATATCCTTATATACCAGATTAATTGAATTATAAGCCCTACTAACTAAATAACAAACTAAACTGTTATGCAGTTAAGTGCAAGAAAAATAAGCAATAATTTAAAGTTTTATTGTTGATTAACTTTAATTATGTATATCTAAAAACGTTTTAGTTATATCTACATAAACGAGATCGAAAGTATTGCATACAATTCTGGGCCCTCAATGTAAAAACATGAAAATAGTATTAATTAAAAAGTGAGGTTATATTGCATTGTCTTTAAGGGTTAGATGAATACTCTTAAAAGTATGTGAAAAATAATAATTTTATTTAGAAGAGAATATCTGATAAGATATAACAAGGCAAGAACGACTCAAAGACATACAGATATCGGTAAAAAGTATGGAATTTTACGAGGAACAGGAGTGAACTATGTGATAAAAGTCATAGAATAAAACAAATAATTTTAATGGAATATTTTATTCCTCTTCAATAATAACTAAAATATCGTCTAGGAACTGTGTAGAGGGTACAATGTTACTAGTTGCTATCCCACAATTCACACAGCGTTCCATCATTTCAGTAATATCCAATCCACAAGCCGGCAAAATAATCCAAATTAACAATTCCAAGTCAAACGTGCAGGCGATCGTCGGTGTGCAATGTGAAAGCAGGGGTCGTAAAACATTAGACGGGTTCGTAGTCCGTAAAAAACAAAGCAGTGGTCGTTGAAAACGTAAAATAATCGGAAAAGCACTCGAAACGCATCGAAAAACACGAAACAAGTAAGACTCAGATAACAATAGGTGGTAGAGCTTAGCTGTGGTCAAGTTACTACAGCTCGAACATGGGCTGGCTCGACCGGGGAAGTACCACCCTCTCACAGAAAATCGGCGTGAAGTAGTCTTTAATGGCTGCGTTTCGTCCGGTGAGTGAGAGAGCCGGTTGCCCTTTCCCTTTTCCCACCCTTTCCTTTCCCTCCCTTTCCCACCTTTTACTCCCCATTTTCCCCAAACAAGGACGGCAACACATCTGCATATCTACTTTGCAGATGTCAATGGGCGACGGTCACTACCTACCATCAAGTAGGCCGTCTGCTCGGTTGCCCCCTTTTCCCATAAAAAAAAAAAAACAATGCATGTTAAGTGTCAATGTCATGTTGCCATAGACTATATACTGAATGATTTCGATCGATATGGAATCGATAATCGAAAAGGATGTTTTGAAATAATATTTAATATTATTATTATATTAAAAGTTATTTTTATTGAATTGTAGACATATATGGTGTAGTTTAAATGAAGTTACTGTAAGTTTAAAACTAGGAGTGAAGTTTATTTTTGTAGTTAAATAAATCATTTTTTATTTAATTAATCGTTAATCGATTGCTTCATAAAACCAGTTATTTGCATATTTCTCCGCTTGTAGATTGAGAATTTATGTAGATTTTTGGTATTTCATACGAACAAAAATTAAGTAATTTTTTAAATCAATTTTGAACTCATTACATTTTGGGCCCACAAGTTTCTATCTCCTTTAATAGTTTCCCAGCTAAATAAAATTAAGTCTTACCTGAGAAGACAATTGTTCAGAGCTCAATCTCAACGTTGTAGTAATTTTTCCTGCCAGAATCTTGGCGTCGTAGAAACTATATGAAAATAAAGAAATTTCTGCTATAAGAGCGTAGTCGGGCACTTTATTATGTCATTGCAATAGGACGGAACAATGCTTTCAGATTATCTGATAACTCCGTTCTACCAGTTTAGAAAGAGAAATATACCGAATGGTTATAATTTTAATATTACTAGTATGACGCCTCTTTGTCTTATTTGTTAATTTTAATAAATTTACCCGCATATCAAGGGTTCATAGTGATAAAAACTGAACAGGAAGCTTTTAAGGGAAGCTCACAGCCTCCGAAAATAAACTTTTCCTGACGAGCTATTTGCGCCTTTTGTTTGCGCCTATTGATAAAGTGAACAGGAAATATGGTTTATGGAAGTTGAAGTGAGTGAGTGGTACCTAAATGAAATCAACTATTTTAAAATTATATAATTGTTTAAATGAATTAATGCTTTCGGATTACTACGTATCTTTTATTATTTTTAAAACATACTCCCGAAGATTCGGTTACTTTGCTGCAAAATATACTATGGTATAGTATGTAGTTACTAAAAATAATATAGTAAGGCGTAGTAATCCAAATCTTTTAGTGTCATTGTAATGAATACACGCGAAAGTCTTAGATCTTATTATATAAATATATATAGGTACTTGTTGAGCGACGACAGATAATAATTCAATGTCAATTCTATTAAACTCATCGAAACAAGCCCAGGCACCGGATCTGAAATATTCCCATAAAAATTATAAAATTCAACACAAGTTTAAATATATTAGTATATATATATATATATATATATTTACGCTGCTAGTCCTTTGAAAAACTTTCCCATAGCCATATAGTCGAGCTGATCTGAACAATTAAATACCACACATTGAACAGCCAGTGCTTTGGCTAAATCCTGGAAATAAACAAACCCACATAATCAATAGAAGACAAGTGTTAACTATATACAGGATGATTGGTGAATTACTATCAATATTTAAGGAGCATACTCGGTACATGATTGTCATTCGAATTGTGTAAAAAAATAGGTACTTAATTTTTGACCAAATTTCCGTATAAATAAATAAAGTGTGTACACGTTCCAAGTGTTCCAAGTGTGGACGCGTGTGGCGGCGTGCTGATACAACAACACGCCGCCGCGCGCGAGTGTGTGTGTGTGTGTATACCTAATCTGTAGGGTGTTCATACGATGCGTAATTAATTACATAACTTTTGGTTAACTTTACTTAGAAGTTTATTAATATTTATGTTATATTAATTTTTATTTTGTCATATAAGATCGTCAAATATCACGTCCTCAAATATCGATAGTAATTCACCAGTCACCCTGTATACTTATACTTAGCTATATATAACAATATATATTTTTTTTGTTCTTATATCAGCAAAAATTAAAAATAAACCTAACCTTAGTTGTCTCAGTTTTTCCTGTACCAGCGGGACCTGCCGGTGCACCACCGAATTTGAGATGCATTGCGCACATCAAGGTCAAATAACAGCTTTCAGTTAGCGGCGTGATGACCAGACGACCGCAGAAAAAAACACAAATATAAGTGTCATCGTAGGAGCATATAATCGCATGAACATAGGCAGTCGAGACAAAATTATTGTAAACCCTGACACGTAATATTTATTACGTGTTTCTCTTGACCGTAAAATGTTAAGGGTAGGTAATAATTGAAAATGAGTTACCTATTTCCCAAGTACTCGTTTTGATAAGTGAAGATAGAATTCAGTGCGCGAACGTCGCATTTATTCCGACTGAACTGACGATAGTACAATGAAGTGTCTAATCTTTCCTCGTCTTGATATATCTCCGGTAATTCACCTTCCTCAAGCGGTATCATTTCTTTTACGATTTCGTAATACCTGAAAGGAAATAAATTCTATTTTAATTTGTAACAAAGATTCTAAAATCAATTACATTTCCCAGGAAATATTCATAATGTTTGTTGCCATTGTATTTTACTGAATGTTTGTAAAAAAAATATATGCTACGTAGTCAATTATTCTGAAACTAGAAACTTTCAAAAGATTAAATAAATTCTTTTCAATTGCAATCGATAATATTGTATTTAATTTCCAACTAAATGAATACAAAATATACATTTAAATATAATATATTTAAATTAGTAGAAAAGCCTTATGAAGTCCGATTAAAACCATATCAAACTAACGTTTCAAATTCCTTTTTATAAACAAAAAAAATCAATATTACCTCAACTGACATATCCATTGGAAGTCAGTAACATTCTTGACAGGGCACCTAAAACTTCGCGTTGGAAGAAAGTTAGTTCACCTTTAACTAGGGCACGAAGACTATCCAACTGTTGAAAATTTTTGCTTATTATTTCAGTATAAAGTAATGTCTATGTATATTATGTCATTATATTTCTTTTTATAGAAAAAACTTAGTTTTTCTTAGAATGAATCGGTAACACAATATTAAGATCTCTCTAATACCTTACCTGTTTGAGCATCTCTTCAAAGTATTCATCCATTCTGTATTCTGATATAGCTTGTTCAACTCCCGCTGTCCAAGCTGTTTGTGATCTTGCAATCACAACCTGCCCCGGACATCGCAGTACCCACTGATCACGAGGTAACTCCCATAATTCTACCATTGAATCCACCAAGGTCAGACGGATTAAGAATGAAATACAATTATTTCATTAATTATTATCATACATACCCAATATGGCAGATAGTTTATTTAGTTCAATATTTATGTATGTTTCTATATTTCTTTGACACATTCATACGTGATAATTTTAAGCTAAAACGGTAATTGGATTTCTCTTAGTAGTGAATATGACTGTACAATCACCTTTTGTACTTTCCGTACAGGAGAAAATAAATATATTATATGCAATAGCATAAATTTATAAAATACGAATAGAAAAACTTCAAAGATGAGTAATTTATTTCTAAACTGTTACCTATAGATAGATTCCGAAACGATCGGTAGAACTATTTGTCTTTCTTTTAAATAAAATAATATATTAACCCATACAAATAGACACTATAAAGATGTAATAAATCAATCTGGTCTCACTCGTATGTCGCATAATGTCTTCAAGTAGAAGTAGCCACTGCTCGACATTTGAAGTAGGATAAAATTTGTACTTCAACTCCACGATTTCACCTTCACTTGAATGCATTTGAGTTATCTTTAGATCCGGTTCAAATGTTACCTGACGGTATTATATACAAAAAATAATAAACCTTATATTAAAACCAATTATTTCTGTGCACCAACATACTATACATACATGAATGTTTTAATTATTATAAGTTAATTATTTATGTGCCAAAAGAAGAAATAGTTTCATTACTATAAAATAAATGTAATGCAGTAAGAATAAATAATGTCTTAAAAGAGATATCACGAATATAAATGTGGTGTTGGTACGGTAAAAAGAGAGAAGGAAAAAAAGAGATATATACATATAAAAGCATAGAAATGAAATTATAATGATAGAAATATAGATATTATACATATATAGATATAAACATAAATATACACATAAATATGTACAAATTGTATAATAAATAAACACACACATTACACATCAGAAGACATATAATTAAGTACCTTAGCAATATTCTCAAAACATTTTCTAAGATGGGGTTGCACTGCTCTTGGGTTGCGAAATTGGGATAATATTTCTAACAATTCATCATCGCTTAGGAAGAAGAATCTCGGGAACCGTACTCGTTTAAGTTCCATATATTCATTCAGACCTCGTGATACAACAGCCAGTAAATGACGAGCTTCAACCAAGCTGTCTAGAAGACGGCTATCCGGACATATAATCATTATCTATAAACAAATTAAATATATTAAGAGTAGTTATAAAACTAAGGCTACATTTACACATGCTTATTTAAGCAACACTTGGACAAACGTGCTACGAGTAGTAAACAGCACGTACTCAAAGCATGCTTTCGTGTTTGAAATAAGCATGTGTAACAGTAGCCTAATATTTCAAACGTTTCTCATGTTAAGATATCAAGAAGGATTTGAAAAATACTATTAATATTTAAACTCTACTGCACTTGACTAAATATCGTGTGTATAAAGTTTAAAACTCGTTTGAAAGCTTGCCAAATATAGTTAGAAAAATAAACCTTTGGACATGCTACTGCGGATGATATAATTCGTCTCCATATTCTTTCCATAGTGCCGTACTTTTTAGCTTCAAGCGGTAATTGTCGTGATATATCTTCAGACGTAAATATTGGTTCTAAATACATCCACTCCCTATAAATAATATCGATTAGACACCACGGTAAATTCAATATAGTATTATATATGTATATATATAAAGAAATACTTTAAAACATACTTTTGACATTGAATCCATTCGTCAACAACTTTTTGTGTAAGCCGAAGTTTATCATCCCATTCCTGTATTCGTAGCTCGAAAGCTGCTTTGAAAGAACTGAATCCTAATAGTTGTGTAGTTAAAAGATGTTCATCCAATAATTGGAGAGTTTCGTTAGCAATCTTCATTGTGAACGTGCCTGTAAATTAGATTTTAGACGCTTGATAAATATTTAAATAAACCGTTTCTTTATTAATTCTCAACTGGAGTGCTATATGTATAGTTCTGCCTAGAAATATTTTAGAACAATTTATTTAAATGCCAATCTTAGAAATTAGTCCAACACAAAAAATTACATGAAAAATTACAATATTTCGAATGTTATACCAGTGTTTTTATATGGAGACACTTCCATCGTCTTGGCCGCCCAATCGTTAAGCATTTTATCGAGTGCCTGTTCTATCACGTACTCCTTGCTAGTACACCAATCTCAGCTATCAATTCAGCACGTTGAGCCACTCCCTCCAGAAGGTCTTGATGTAACGAGAGGATACGAAGACATTATTAGATAAAATAAATATAACAATATCATTTAAATAAATAAAACGGTGTTCCTTTTAAAACTATAGCTTTATTTCAACTGAATTAGTGTTTTTTTACCAAAGATTATTTGCATTGCTTTTAACTGTGACGCATAAAAAGGTACAACACGTAAAAATAAAGCTGGGAGACGAAACGTTACAAAATAACTTATATATGAATTTTACATACCAGCTTTTTCCATGAATTCATTCCAGTGTCGTTCTTTCATTCCAGGATTCCTAACAGCTTGGATAACTGGTATCAACGGTTTAAACTCGTCTATATCATCCTGTTAACAAAGGTATAATAATATTATAGTAATATTGTCAACAGTCACTAAACACATTGAAATAAGGTTCAAATATTTTTATGACATATTTTAGCTATTCTGTTTGTAAAATTATAGTTTCAATAGTTTTTAAGAAAAGTAGTCTTTGAATGTTTAAAAGTACCAATTCTTATCCATCCTTATCACACTATTTGTATGTTTGTAAAAGTCACTGAAGAATGTGATACTACTTAATGTGGTCAATAAGTAAATAATAATCTTTAAAAAAATCCAACGATCTATTAAAAATGGAATAATTCTGGTTCAAAAGAAACGACTTAGTCTATAGCTTTAGACCCAGTTTCACCAATCAATGTTTGTCTAATCATGGCATTTACTAAACAACCTTCAAAATTATAAATGTCTGTTAAAATATTTACGTCCCACGATGACAAATTAACAACGCATTATTAAACGTCATGTCAAATGACCGACTATCAAATTATTCGTTCTTGTTATAAGGCGACCAAGTGGAAACTATAGCGTTTAACACGGCACATTTGCCCCGATGCACCACTTTATACTTTGATCGTACGAGTACATCGTACGTACGTACATCGATATACTCGTATATATCCCTCGATACGTCACTTGTAAGCTAATGCGGCCAAATTTTATATATCGTTGGTTGCATACATTTAGCACACAAAAAGCTTTCTTTTCAATTTACTAGGTGTTACTTGTCAAAATCGTGTTGTCAATAAATTGAGTTATATATTATTGTGTTATAAATATAGACATAAATTGTGTTCAAATTATAAGAAATAAAAAGAAAATTTAATTTACAATGTCATAGAAAAGCTGGAGGCAAAATCATCATACTAAATGAAATTTTAATTAACTTTATTAATAATAAGGAAATAGTCGAAACTGACAAAACAGATGACGTTACTATGGTTACAAGAAATCAGGGCTGTGATTGGACAATTGAGTTTTGACAATGCCATTAACATTCTGTTAGCCATTAGATGGAACTCCAGAGCAGGAATTAATATTAGTGGCTTGTTAAGACATTTAAACGGACATTTGTACGTGGTGGGACGCTCGATACATCTAACAGATCATCAAACGCCTTAACACGATATTACTTATTAACAATGATTGGTGAAACTGGGTCTTATACTATTGAAAACAACAATATAAATTATACTTTATGCAAATTTAAAATACTGTTCATAACCTGTTCAGTTGTTGTTGTTCATAAGCTATTCAGCTTTCTTTTCTAGTTTATTCTAATAATAAAATTATTTGGTCATGTTTTTCAAATTATCTCTGAACTACTGATGAAAGTTATTGATTTCTATGAACTAAATTGAAAAAAAATATACATGTACATTAATATAAGTAGATTACAATACGTAAGTAATAATAAAAATATATATGTTCTAAAGGCATACTTTTAAAGCTGTTGATACAATATACAGAGAAACAGTTATTTCAAATATTAAATAATACCCGTATTGTCAGTGCCACTTGCTGTACTCCAGGAAGATCGGCAAACACTCGAATACATTTAACAATAGTTTTGTAGTAGTCATTAACTAAAGGTTCTATCGAATCTGCGTCCACATATATGAGAGGATTATCAAACCATACTTCACGAGCCTTGAGGAAATCTAAATAAGAAATAGAATTAATTAAAAAAAAACTTTTCAAAGTGATGAGGCAGTATATTTGTACTAGTTTTATTGATTGCAAAACAATTCAGTGCTCATATCCATATTTAAAAGGTTTTTTTTTGTGCACAGTTTCATAGTAATAAGGTTATTTGAATTATCCTATACAAAAGACAGAATAGATGTTACGATCTATTTAACCTCAGAATTTTATATGGTAAAATCATATAGCCCAACTCTTTACAACCAAACAACTTAATAATGCAACAAATTTGTATCATATAAAAACTTTTAATACACAAAATCAAGGCCTTATAAACAACACTATATACTTGCCAGAAGCAGTGACCCACAAATTTCTGTATGGTTCAAATTCTTTCACTAATCTATTAAGATCCGCAAAAGGTACAACTGGCTATCCAAACAACTTCTGTCTTTGATTGAGAACTCTTCCCCATTCTTGTGATTCCTTCATACCTTTTCAAGCTTTCTTTATATCGTTTGCTATTTCATGTATCTAAATATATATAAGTAATATATTATTGTACTAATTAATATTTATATTTTCTCAAATTTTTAGGCACAGACTGTTTTACATGGTCGATAAAACTGATTTATACATTTTACACAGCATAAAAATTCAATAAAATAGTTATAATCAATAGCTTGAAATTAAGAGAAATCTTAATAGAATTATACCTTTGCAAAATCATTCTGTAAGGTTACCGCCATACACTATTTAAATAATCGTTGTTATTTATAAAAGAATAAAACCATAAAATATATTAATTATTACTTGTTTGGTAATATTCAAAGGCCACCCTATAGCCTCCCACAAGCTTCTGAAGTCTTCATTTTCTAATGGCGTGAAAAATACATCAAGCACTCCATAATCCTGAAAAGGTGTTAATTTTTTTTGAATAGATATATAAGTAGCATTTAAAAAGTTTTTAGGGATTTTACAAAAAAATATATCAAACAAACAATTTTAATTTTAGGACTTGAATATGAAACCCATTAAAAAAAAAGGGTTAGGTACCGGAAAGCTAAGATATCTTCACTCAACTTTCACCGAAAGATTTTTTTCAAGCGAATAAAGAAAAAATCAAGTTGTATAAATTACCGTATGCACTTTCTTCATTATGTCATATTGAGTCTTTAATGAAAATGGTATAGACTCCATCCACTCCCGTATTTCAAATACGTGTTGAATAGTGTGGCTTCTCGCCAAGTTTTCTCATAATGTTTTTGTATGCTTGTATAACGTCTTCGACAACAACACGGACTTCCTCTGCCCACATTGTTAGAAGCGCCTTTATGATATCTGATCGTTTTGTTACCAACATTTGCTGAAACAATGACAATATATAGAAGTTAAGTTAAATATAAGAGTATATATCTTGAAAGTACAAAACCTGACCGAAAAAGCCTATAAAGAATCTTCTAAACAGAAAAAAATTAAAAATAAAGTCGAGACCTATATATATACATAGGTCTCGACTTTATTAGGGTAATTCCTGCCAACCTTTAGAGTGTCCACGTTTATAGCGAATGGACCAATATTAATATACTGTGGTAGACGCCAAATCAAATCTTGTTTAGCATCATAATGAATTTGAATTTCTTCTCTAGTTTCCGACGCGCTGTGCTTCTCTTGACGAAAATTCCTTTTAAAATATTTTTGTATTAAATTACTACAAATTTTATAATAAAACAAAACTACTAGAATCTCAAACTATACCAATGATATTTGAAGTGAAACTTCTTTAGGCGAATGAGGGTAAAATTCGCTATGAAGCAACTAGCCGTGGAGTGAGAGTAGGGAGCAAGCAAGTGAAAAAGATTGAGGGAAAAAGTGAGACAGAGTGAATTACGTTAATTAATAATTAATTATTACGTTAATTACGTTTTAGATTTGTATAAATATAAACAAGATTTATAAATTAGTTCACTAAAGAAATTTCACTTCTGACATGTGTACTTTGTACGCATTTTTTTTTTCTACAAAATACAACTTTTATTCTTTTTTATATCGAAAACAAGACAGTGTTTTCAAAGATTTATTGACAGTTTCTTTATGATTGAACAAATGAATTGTTCATGTGTATTTTTATCCACTATATTAACTAGAGCACATTATTGGGGCTGCCAATTCTTAAACTTCCTAAGTTGGTTTAAATAACAGTTGAAAATTTGATTTAACTGTTAGAAAACAGGAAAAAATTGATAATTTTAGAATATAATAGTATCAAAATCATTAAATTTTCCTTTATAAATCAACTAACATAAAAGCTAAGAGCTCTTTTAAATTATAAAATCGTTTCACCGACATTTACACAATCATATACCGTAAAACGAAAAAGACAGAAATATTGCCACTAGCAATTTTCAATTTGTTCGACTCCTTTCGGTAATTATAAACTATTTATATATATATATATATATATATATATATATTATAAACTATTCGGTAAATATAAAATTAAACAAAGTCAGAAATAAAAATTCAAAAACTGTAATTCATAACACTTAATGAGATCTACGATTTTCGCGAGTATTTCTTTGAATAAAACTATGCGTATATTTTTTATTTTAAAACTACATACTCCCGATGTTTTGATTTCTGCATATCATTAGTTTTATTTGAACACACACTTACTCAACGTACTCCTCAATATCCAACATATATGTGTCCTTGTAGCAGTCGTATTGATGCATGTAAGCTATTAAGGGTATTATCGCCTTCCTAAAAGCCTTCAACAGTCTGTCTCTATATTCGGCGACATTCGGTTCCATTAATCCTATAAATTTTTAATTTTAAATCACTTATAATACAAATATAGACTTAAATTTATTATATAATATATATTTTTAATAATGTATACTTCTTGTAACAAACCTATAGAAGTAAGGAAGAGCTCCTTATCAAAGACGAGTCCAGTCATTATTTTAGGATGTACTTGAGGTATGAAATGACATCTGTTCAACATTTCTCTAAACAGACGTTGGATCACGATCTATTTAAAAACATATATCAGAATATAGATTTATAAATTGATTCACAAAATCTTTAATAATTACCTCAAATTGTTCTGGTGGAGTGGTCTAATAGGGGCCATCGGCAGACACCATTAGATGAAAGTAGAATAATGTAGTAGGAGTTCTAAACGGAGTTTTTATGAGATCTTTTGGGATCCATTCATAATCATCTTCGCACCAATATGTGCAAAGACAAGGTGTCACACACAAGGCTACGAACATGGCCATCGATTGTTCCAAACAATATCTTAGCGCGTACTGTGATTCCAAATTATTCCATTAAATAAATTAGTTTATTTAAAGAAATTATAAAAAAAATTGTCACAATCGTCTTTATATTTCTACGTCATTCTTTGGTTATGTACGTTACACTTAATCTATTTGTAAAAATGTTAAATTAATATATTTTTTTAATACAATACACCCAACTAACTTTAGTTACAAAAACTACATACCCACAAATATTAATATTAAGAATATTAGCAAATAATTTAAATATCATTTACCTCCATGCCAAATCTCACCAACTGCAGGAATCTACTAAGTTTACTTATACCGTAGAAATCCCATTTCTTTTCGTAGATATTAAACCATCTATAACATTTAATCTCATTATAAATACTTATATGAAATGGAACATAGAAAATAATATATTTACATTATAAATAATCAAGACCTATAAAGATAAAACTAAAAAAACAATTACCCCTTGCCCACGTCTCTGTATGACATTCGAATAGCGTGTGCAGTAGCATTTAACCATGTTATGTTTAGATATTTTAACATCTGTATGAATAAAGTTATTTAAGATAATTGAAATAAATAATAAGGTACTAGACACATAGACATATGTATTAGTACTCGTATGTTTGTATAGTCGTATCACTTACCATTGAGGTGCAATGCTGTTGAGCTGCATCGAACTCCGCAAGACTTACGTTTCTGCCATAGTTTGACGTGAAAAACAACATACCCTCAACCTATATTGAATCAATATTAACATACACGTCTATATATAGAGATTTCTCAAAATAGTAATCATATTATCACCTTAAGACACTCCTCCACAACCAAATGTATGCAACTGACAGACTCCGTGAGTACGTAAAGAGATTTCCATTGATTAAACTTCATACGATCATCGAAATCTACATCGATAGCGATCTTAAAGATTAATGAATTAGTTATATACATATTAAAATTATTTTGTTTCAATAAATAAAAAAGCAAAAACTCACCGTAATCTGGAACAGGAGCTACATAGTCTTTGCTCGGAGGATCAATGAAGTTGTATAAATTCGGGTACATCTGCATCGTGTGAATGATTTTCATCTTACCCTCGATTTTTCTGTATAAGAGTTCAGCCTACAAAATTGCATTATATATTCAATGTCAAATTAAATTTCAATACATTTGAAACATTTAACTACATACATATATGTATCTAGATTAATATATAAAAAAATATAAATAATTTCTAGATTTATTTTAAGATATAATCGTAAAATAAAAGCTAAACCTCTTGTTTCAATGCGTTTAAGTGATCATTATCAACACTTTTTCCGCTTCGGTGTATAAGTACATACAAGCGCTATTATATTCTTCGGCATGAAACTCAATGGCATCCTCGGTAGACCATCAAGTAGGAGGCAATCCAAATATAGGTAAAATCTAAGCAAAAATCATGTTTAACAATAGATATAGTTCTCCTAATTAATGTCAAAATCTTCGAAGGTATACTACCTTAAATTATTCTCTACTTCTTTCCGCAAATTTACTGCGAATTTTACTCTCTCTGCAAACGTGTCCGGATCATCGGCTTTAAACATAAGACGGATTCGTGGTATACTGTAATTCAAATATATATTTTAATACATTAATTATTATAGTATTTCATTAATAAATTCATTAAATTTTACTTGAAGTATCTCTTTGTTCCATCCAACGCCATTACTTCCCATTTATTAGTATTTTTGTCGTAGTTAAACGCAGCAACGTTTGTCCACTGCAAATAACGATATATTTTTTATTTTAAATAACTTTAAATTTTTACTATTAATTCTTACAATCGGGCCAAAAACAAACTCCCCCACCTCATACAAATTGTTAAGCATTTGCAAAAGGTCTGAAGATGGTTTATGAGGCTTTCCATCTTGTTTCGGTATAAAGGCTAGACCTGGACAGGGATATTGTTCACCTTCTATAAAACCAAGGCTCAGCCATTCTTCTGAAATTCTATAAAAAAATCCATAATCATTTATATAGCAAGAGACAAAAATCATTTGTGTCAAATTACAAATTTAAAAATACCATACGAAAGTGCTTTACTAACCTACAATCAAAATCGGTGTTATCAAATAATTCCAGGTCCATCTTTGGATAAGGACTATATAGACCATAATATTCTTCATCCGAAACAGGATATTCGGATGGAGGCATTGAAACAAAAGGTTGTACACCACGTTCTCTTAACATTTTCTGGTGAAAAACATATACATATACATATTTCTTCTACTTGGCATTTTCCCAGCTTTAGCCAGGGTCTGCCTTACATGTTATGAATAGTTTTGGCTAATTGTTTTTACGACCGCCCGCCTGCCTGACATCAACCCTCTATAGGAATGCATTAATCAGTGATGTCTAAATACTCTTAGAAAGTACATATGACTCGGAAAAATCACTTTGGTACTTGCCAGGATCGGACCCGCGCCCTCAGGCATGAGAGGCGGGCCTTTTAACCACTAGGCCACCACTGACTATATATATATGTATATATTATATACTTCTAGATTTATTTATTACTGAAGCATACGTTCATATATATCAAAATAAATAGATTGAGATAATAGAACTTTAATAAATTTGTTATGAAATATCTATAGGATTGAAATAAAACATATGTATGCATTGTACCTTAATATTTGCAGCAAGAAATTTCCTCCGCAGTCTTTCAATTTTAACAAGTCTGGGAAGCTCTTTTGGCAAAACAACACTCAGAAATTGTAGTTTCGGAACAAACGTTTCAAACGGAAATTGCTATGAGATCAAAATATTTCTTTTTATTACAATCCTATTCAAGTTATTTTTAATCGCACACGATTTTTGTGAAACTTAAAAAATATTATTATTATCGTTATAGGAATATGGAATGAACTGAATAAATTAATCCTAACATCATTAAGAAATTAAATCTCTCAGAAACGAAATCACATCATGCCTACGCGGCTTACTTTAGCTTTTCTTTTAATATTAAAAATAACTTTGTTCTTAAGAACAAAAACATCTTTGAGGCTAGCAATCAAAATTACTAAATAAATCTTGAGTACACATTATTTTACTAACAACACTAACATCTTCACTGTAGGTAGTCCACCTTCCGGGAGGTAGTAACAGCTTAGGTTTTTGAGGTTTGGCCAATGATGTCACCATTGGTGCCAGTTTATCTGTTTTTGCCTGGGAAATAGATTATTATTTTAACTCTTTTCATAATTTGATTGCGAAATAGATTATTATAATCCTACAAGTCTGTCTTTGCAATATCGCTTCATTTATGAAAAAAATTATGTACTGATAATAATAAATCCTTTTCAAACTAATTAATATATTTATAAGTTGGTTTTTATACATAATATTATAGTACTTCGAACTATAGAACCAAGATTAAAAATAGTTATACGCGTAAACGTATTGTGCAAAGGTTTAATAGCTTATACAGGGTGACTGGTGAATTACTATCAATATTTAAGGAGAATACTCGTTACATGATTCTCATTCGAATTATGTAAAAAATAGGTACTCAATTTTTGACCAAATTTCCGTATAAATAAATAAAGCGTGGACACGTTCGAAGTGTTCCAAGTGTGGACGCGTGCGGCGGCGTGCTGATACAACACCACGCCGCCGCACGCGTGTGTGTGTGTGTATACCTAATCTGTAGGGTGTTCACACGATGCGTAATTAATTACATAACTTTTGTTTTACTTTATTTAGAAGTTTATTAATATTTATGTTATATTAATTTTTATTTTGTCATATATGATCGTCAAATATCACGTCCTCAAGTATCGATAGTAATTCACCAGCCACCCTGTATATGTATAGAAATTAAGGCAGTAAATATGTACTTGTAATAAAAGTTTCATTATTTTCTTAGCAAATACTTGTTTCGCTGTATGTTCCTTAGTCATATCGGATACCAATTTCGAGTAATATCCACGTTTTGGTATCAAATCTCTGTCCGTGTTATCGTTAACTACATCTGGTCGTTTTATCTTTTTCTTTTTGCAATGCATTATTTATATTCTTTTATTAAATATAATGAATCAATTTATTTTCAAAATGTAATTATATTTGAAATAATATTTTCACTGTTCTGTCATTCAAATAAAATCTGGGATAAATTAGTTTGTGTTTTGTCATCTATTTCGTACAATAAATATATATTGAATATTAAATCCTACAGATATTATAAATGTGGAAATTTGTGAGGACGTATGAACGTTTGCTGATCTGTCACACAAAAACTATGTACTTAACGGATTTTAATTCAATTTTACAGTAATATCACTTCGTCATCGTTATAAGGGTGTGTACTAATAATTTGTTCGAGAATAAAAACGTTGACATTGGCAAAGTATTCCATGATTCCAGTGCGAATGAAGCCATAGCATAAAAAAGGTAGCCATTGTACAAAACCACAAACTCAGGTTACATTAATATTTTGTAACAATAAAAATTAATAGCCAATTGTGTTTTTTTTATTTAACAATATGTATTTACTAATTTTTTTTTCTCTCAACTTAACTCAATATTATTGAAACAACAACAATTACAAGCTATATTAAATATTCACAGAAAAAAAGTTTGCATCATATCAATAATAATGAGACGTGAAAAATAATTGATACATAAAACGTAATTTATGTATATCAATAATATAATATAAATAAGAATCCACATATATTGAATTATTTGGAATATGTACTACAATTTTTTTACAGATTTTCAAACGATCTTCTCTGTAACACGACAAATAGGATGGACTATATAATAAATAGTCCTCATAAAGATACAAATTGCTTGAATGGCGCTCCACAAAGTGATCCAATATTTCTAGCCTTGGTGATATTTCTGAAAGCGCTCACTATAGCTTTAGTTCTTTAATCTTACAGACTTAACAAAAGCTTTTCAAATTTGAAGTATTAAATTTCTCATTTCATAACGCATTAACTTCTACGTTCATAAATTGTGAAATTTTTGTTTTAGTTTTTAAATTAAATAATTTTTAAATGCTTTTTGAAAATGTTTGACTTTGGATATACGAGGGGAGGTCAATAAGTTCGCGGAATGAGCGGGAAGGGGGTTGAAATTTAACACGAAACTATTTTTCCTTTTCAATATAGTCTCCCTTAACCTTAATACATTTTTCGGATCTCACAAATAATTTATTAATACATTCGAAAAAAATTATTTATCTTGGCTATCAAAATAGGCCGAAATTGCGGACTTGACTTCTCAAATATTTTTCACCGCAGCTTTTTTTTCATTTTTGAAAACAAATAATAGTCGCTGGGGACTAAGTCTAGACTGTAAGGTGGGTGGTGTAGTTTTTCGAATCCGCATCGGTGAATGGCAGCCGTCGCATCATGGCACGTGTGGACTGTTGCGTTGTCGTGCAAAAGGAGCACACCTTTTGACAGTTTTCCTCTTCTTTTTTCCTTGATAACTTCTTTCAATCTATCTAATAAAGAAGCGTAGTACTGTCCCGTTATAGTCACACCACGATCTTTATAATTGATCAGCAAAATACCTTCTGTATTCCACAAGACAGTCGCCATGATCTTTCCGGCCGATTGTGACACTTTAAACTTCTTTGGAGGAGCTGTGCCTTTTTTATGCCACTGTATCGATTCTTGCTTCGATTCAGGTTCATAGTGGTGAACCTAGGTTTCGTCACCAGTAAAAAACCGGTCCATAACTTCCTCCTTATTCTCTCCACAGAGCTTCAAAAACTGGCGAGAACACTCGACACGCTCGCTCTTTTGAAGTGGCGTGAGCATTTTTGGAACCCATCTTGCACTGACCTTAGTCATCCCAAGATGAAGATGTAGGATATTTAAAATGCTTTTTTCGGATACTCTAACCATTGCTCCAAGCCGTTTCTGCTTCAACCGGGCATCTTCCAATATAAGTTTTTCTACTTTTGCGACGATTTTCGGTGTGGTGGCCTCAATCGGTCGTCCGGAGCGGGGGTCATCTTCAATGGACTCTCTTCCTTGTTTAAAAAGTCCATGCCACTTGTAAACCATGGTTTTACCAGGGGCAGAGTCCGCGTAAACTGATAACAGCTCTTTAAAAATTATCTGAGCGGATTTTCCTTGCTTGGTGAGGAACTTAATAACGGCGCGGTGTTCAATTTTCTCCATACTCACTGACTTCTTCCCGATTCACTTGTTTGCAGGTCAACAACTCAAAAGTTAATGACCCGATTTGGTTCAAACTTGGTATATATACTATCAATGAGGTGTTGAGCAAGTTACTACCTGGACGAGTAAATCAACCCCCTCCATCCCCTCCATTCCGCGAACTTTTTGACCTCCCCTCGTATAATAGGAGAATTCATACACTGGGTATGTGTGTCAATGAAGATTAAAAGAAAGGTGACGTTTCTAGCAAACCTCGGTCAGAATAGTATGTACTTTTTTGTATAAGAAACCAAAAAATACATTGAACAGTAAATCATCTTTAATGTTAATGAAATTCAAAACGAGATCATTTTAGGTTTTGGCATGGAGACTTATGTTTTGGGATATGAAACTAACAACTGAAATTTGTTAATAAAATCTTTTTATCTTCTTCATAATAAGAAACTATATAACAATATATTTTAATTAAGCAAATCAAACCTTAAAATCATGATAATAAAACATTTATTAGAGTGTCTGTTAAATTTTTATAACCATTCCCCACGAAATGTTTGAAGTTTTTTTCTGCATATAAAGGATTTGAATCAGTATTACGTTACAAAGTTACTCGCAGTAACGAGGTAGTCATAGGGAGATGGGGCTCAGATCTGTATCTCTAAATTGGATTACCTTGAGCGAATACACAAGAAGCTTTGTAGAAAACGTTAATACATCTTAACTGAATTCCGTAAATTTTTTATCAAATAACAACACCTCGAAACGGACTTTATAATGGAAGACAGAAGACTCACATGGACATCCCAGGAGACGAAAGGGCAACAGATTCTCTCACTCATCAGACGAACGCTGCCATGAAAGACTACTTCAGCTCCATATTCTGTGAGAGGGTGGTACTGCCCCGTTGAGCCAGCCCATGTTCAATCTGTAATAATTTGACTAGAACTATGTTCTACCTCCTCCAAAATGGAATAGACAATTTACAATGTACAATAAAATGTTAAAGTAAACTTGCTCGTGGGAATAAAATTATTATTTTTTTTATTTTATTACGATATAATTTTCCGTGTATTATAAAAGGTCATTAATTTCGTCGTAATTAAAGGTTAGTATTTCGAAGAAATTAACGACAATATGCGAATAAAACTCTCTCTTTAATACAAATAAACGTTTTCATTTAATTTATTTGTACATAACCTTTTAGAGATAATTTAGTAATGCTTTAAGTTACAAAAATACAAAAGGACTTTTTATAAATTCAATGTTTCCATAGTTTTCTTTGTACATAAGTGCTACATAATTTTGTTCCTTAATCATTTTCATACATTTTAATTGCTACTATAATACTTTACTTTCATTGTGTGAATTTGAAACGATTTGGATATTTCATGACTTTTTCATTGTTAAGTTTTAAATTTCAAACAATTATTCCTCTTTTGTATTAATCCTATCCAGTGTTTACTGATGATGTGACACACACAAACTATTATACATATATAACCAGCTATTATATATAAATATAGTATTTATGACTAGAACTTTCTTCTGGATTTTTAATTAGACCCTCCCAAAATAATGAAAAATAGATCATAGTAAATCAGTTAGTTTGCTTAAAAATATTGTCTTTATTTAATAGATTAGTATAAATAACATAATTTTTCAATTTCCTTCCGTAATCCGCTTGAAGGCAAGATATACATATCTATACTGTAAAAGAATATCCGCCACATCACACATTATTTATTTAGGAAACCATTCACGGAAATTGCCATCGATAGATAACAGGTGATGAAAACCCTAAAGTAATTTCGTTCGTGTTCATTCATTGCGTCGACAACATATGAGGAGCTCATGAATCTTTTACAAATCAATAGACGAGCATCACTATACGAGTATACCTACTTCTTATCTAGTTAATAGTCATAATATTAAACGAAGTTCAAATAAACAGGAATCTAAATAAAGGAATACAATTATTTATTTACAAAGAAAATATTTTACACTTTGAGACCCAAGATTAGTTCATAACTTCAAAGGATAAATAAATAATATGTATCAGATTTATAACAAATTCTTTGCTTTTAAAAAGGCATACGCCAGCTTCGCTGGCTTCAGTACTGTCATTTCTTTCAGTACGCTCTCCGCACTCACTGAACTCTGCTGTCGTGCGTCCAGACGTCATATTTATACCTAAATTCAAACATAGTTCCATTCTCCTTTTAAGCAATTTTTGATTTCGTTTTACTCATAATATTAATCATGAATTCTAGTAAGTTTTTATAATAATTGATGACAGGCTCAAGTTATTTTCATGTCGCACCCATTATTATTAATGCTGATGGCTCCGATATATATATTTTTAAGTCACGTTTTCAACTTTTAAAGTATTTTATTCGCTATATATTGGTTTGAAAATAGGATAGCAATAAAAAGAAAAGAAATATTTTTGGCGATTGTCTTTTTTATACTTGATAGTCTCGACCCAAAAGCATAAGTGCACTCATAAATCATGTTTTAGATAAAGATTTTAGTCCATTAGTGTAGACATAATTCCAAGTTACAGGACAAACGCAGGGTACATATCAATGAAACTGTATTCTGTAGAGACATTTGTATTCTGTTGTATCAAAAACTTGCTCTTGCAAATTTAAATCGAGGGTACAATATTATTAAGAGGTTTTTTTAATATTAAATAATTATGGATAAAATAGAACTATAAGCATAATTCAAGCAATAGGCAAGAAGAAAAAAAAACATTTTTTTTAATTTAATTGAATTTTTGATAAATTCTCGTATGTTCTTTAAAACAACTTCACACTTATTTTTTCTAACCATAAAGCAATATAACCATCTGTCATGTATATTTGTAT